TGCATAAATATTAAACAACAAGATCCTACATTAGGTGTCAAAACAAACAAGAATGATTTAAGGATTATTATGCATATCGGTTGATGATTAGACGCGATCAGAACAACGTTATTCTACGATGTCGTGAGCTTTGTCAACAATTCATGGTCGACATGTATGTAAAGATAGAGAGGGAAATATTCGATACTTGCAATTCAATCAAAATCATGTTTTTCACACGGACAATTATTCGTGGCGTGCTTTTGAACCATCCAGTTGGTTTTTGTTGGCGAAAGATGGGATTACAAAAAATATTGTACACTATGTTGCATTAAAGGATTGATATTGTTTTTTACTAATATTGTCATAATTAGCGATATATATTATTTTAAAGAATCAATTTTAATAAATTATTAAAAAAATAAACATCAAATATTTTTTCATTTTTAGATTCCGTCACCAATCACAGCATTCCATACCCCTTCCACTTATTTACCACATCCTTACATACTTATATTAAATTAATTATTTTTTTCTAGGAAAATATTTTCTAGAAATAATTTATGTGACAAAACAACGTTTGTCGGGTCAGCTAGTATATTTTATAATTATTTACAATAATTTCCGTGGTGAGTGTTTTTATCAAACAGAAAAATAACATCATGAATTTTAAGGATAGAATACGATGGACGTAGAGTATAACATGAGTTATAAATATTTAATTCCAGATCTCAATTTTAATTGTATTTCTGCTTTTTGATAGAATAATTTTCGATTTTAATCGATATTAAAATAAATATTATGTACTACAAGTACGTTTTGTGTGATTTTTTACTTTTCAGTGATGAAAACTTTCTAAATCTCAACAATACATTCCGAGTATTGAATTTATTGTTTCAGGATCATTTTTTATTTTGAATTCGAGGTAAGTAACTTTAAAATACTGTTGACCTACATTTACATATAGTTCATTAAATAACTCACGTTTACATGGTATTATTGCATTATTATTGCATTTTTTTCATTTAATGTCTTAAACAAATACAATAAAATATATCTACACATTATGTTCACTTAATACTATTTTAATGGTAACAATAAAGATTGACTATGATATATTGACAATATTGTATTAAAAATTCAAAATAAAATGTGTTGACAAAATTATTTTTATTTCATACTGGGGGTTTGTTTTTCTTTCTTAAATAAATATTATATTTAACATATTATGTACACACGAATCACTTAAGGCGATAAATGAAAGATAAATTAATATTATTCGTTTTTATTTTTAATTTAGATAATTATTAAGTTAAATATAAAACCATCGTCATATAATTTACGATGAAATCAGAAAATGTGCATTTTTTTAATATAGTGCTTAAACTAGTAGTATTAATATTTTTTATAACGTTTTGTAATTCCATTTTATTCCAAGTGAAATTTTATAGTATCAATATTTCTTTATTTATACTTATTGTATACATACTAATGGCAATAAAATAAATATCTCCTACTTCACTCGAACTTTCTCGACTGAAAAAAAAAAACAAACAAACAAACAAATATATTTATAATATTATCTCCGGAAGAGATTTAAATGATAACAGAATATAATCGTACATGTAGATTCGATACAACATATTTTATATTAATATTGCATTCAATACAACTTAATATAGTACAAATAATGATATTTACTACGAGAGTGTTTAATAACAACAACAATAACAACAATAATAGTAATAATAATAGGAAAAAACTACGTATACAATAAAAATAAGAATCAATAACGTTTTTCATAAATATATTATATCACATACATCGGACCAATATAATAAATATAACTATATATGACTCATTAACGAGATAATTAACGTGGTAAGTTCAACTAAAAATATGACTAGAGTACATATTCTTATGTATTATCATTTTTCAGATTTTTGTTTAAAATGCATTTTACTTAAAGATCGAGAGCGATGATAACACCGTAATGATATTATAACATGAATCAGAAATCGTTTAAAATGTCAAGTTTTGCTAACATAAAATGGTTAAAAAACCTCTCTTGTGTTTATCGATTATTGGTCGATCGTTAATTGAGATGCAGACAACTATTATCTAATGATACACGTGAAAGTATATTACAATTAATTCATGTATAATAACACTGTGCGTATATCACTGTTTTGTATGTTTGATTCAAAAATACTAAGTCATTGAAGGCTGTGATTTTTTTTACAGGGTTCTATCGGAAGTTTTCAAAATATTAAATCACCACCGTCTTCCATAATTATACTTTTATTTTTTTCTACTTTAAATAAAACAGAATATTTAAATTAAAAAAAATTTTTAATTCAATTTTTTTAATTTTATGGTTATTTTTAAACTTTTTGGTGATTGGTATATAATATAATATTATTAGTCAATTATTGGATTACTGTTAATATTGTCTGATACTGTATTATTTTTTTGACTATTGTTTTATGTCTTGAATAATTATTATTTTTTTATGATAGAATTTGTTTTGATCATTTTATTTTTATGGAGTTGTATTAACATTAAATACCTAACCTGAAATTTTTCAGAAAAACGAGTCTCTATCAAAGCCTTTAGGCTTAGGAGTCTATAATATATGCAGCTAAATCCGGCTCTAAATTTCCATGTTGTTATTGCACACTCATGCACATATAACCATGGGTTTCTATGTCTATGGTAGCTTCCATACCATAGGCTTCCTTCTAATAAAATATATATCTGTTATTTATATTCAATAGGAGTGAGGATGGTATCTAATAAGTTGGCCTAAATTAATTAAATGTATTTTAAATATATATTATTATTTTTCAGCAATTACGTAGGTTATTATATGTTACATAACACTAAGTTATGTAAATGAATTTCCAGCAAAATGTCTTTATTATTTTTTACACCTAGCATATATTTATCTTATTTAATTTCTATTATATATTTCCACTCGTGTTTGTATTGATAATACGATAGTTAATTTTCAATACGTTTTGACTACTGCAGATATCTTAATATCAATAAGTGTAATTTCGGGACCTTGTTTTAACTTAATACTATTATTGCGTTTATGACAATACGTATGAGTTCTGTTTTTATAAGATTTTGACTAGTTATGGTGTCCGATCTGAACTACGCATCAAACCGAATAAATCTTTTTCACCGAAATTATATATACAGTTTGTTTCAATCACGTATATTTATACTATTGGCAATTTACGCTATCCACCGATTTATATGGACGAAAATTTTTATTAATGCATACCGTTTCTGTGATATAGATTACATGGTTTAGTTTTATTTAAAACGAAAAGATTAAGGGATCACAGGGTATTGATTTGAAAGTTGTGACACCATCGTTTTTTTTCTTTTATTTCAATGTTGGAGTTTTGCCAACGTAATTGAGCAGTTGATTTATTCACGAGAAGAACGATAGTTCGCATTATTAAAATAATATTTAACATTATAGTAGTTTGCATTCAAACGGTTTCTTGTGCGAATAAGATTTAGAATTATAAAAAAAAAAAATAAAACAACATACATAACTTTGTTGACAATTTTAAGTGCTTAATAATAATTATTAAATTATTAATGATAAGTACCTAAAAAAAAAAAAAAAAAAAAAATAACAATAAAAATCTACATATTTCACTATAAATATACTCATAAGTAGGAACTACAATTCAGAAGAGTTATAACTACAATATTATTATTAAGAGAAAATATGAATAAAATTTGGCACGCGCGTACATGGTACAGTTAAAATTATTGAAATAATAAAAAAAAAAATACATCAAGTCATCAAATATTCTAAAATTACGGATAGTTTTATTATACAACATGTTTGCGGTATGATTAAAAAGTTCGAAAAAAATTGACATTAAATCGACGTTCAAACGTTATTATTTATGTGTATAATCATTAAATCTATCATATTACACAGATATATATATATATATATATATATAATAGATACAATTATTATATGCGGTTATGAATTTCTGTAGTAAAATTAAAATATATTACCTAATGATGTGTTGTGATACGTGTTCGACAGCCAAAAGAATACGTGAATGTCGGAAAGTTGGTAAGCGTTTTTTCTTCAATTTTTACGAAAACATGCACGTACTCCTTCGACGAGATATGAATTGTGTACGACAGAATATGGACCACATTTTATCACATTTTACCTATTGACCGATGGGATGAGATGAACTAACTCTATTATATATCTCGTGTTATTATTTCTAGACTGATTATTGACTATGACTCTTCGCATTTATATTATAATTACAGATTTTGTATGAACAGTGAATAATTAAGCGGTGAAAATAAAATAAAAATAATTAAGAGAACAAAATGGAAAATATTGTAACTCACCGTTTTTTTCATTATATATACATTGGTAAACCAAGCGGATGAACGATAAAATGTTATAATGAATTAATTACGTATGCATTTATGATGGGTGATTCATCAGTATAAGAACTGATTAAACAGTTTCTTCGGCACTATTAATTATATTAATATTGGTGGTTCGTTGATTCAAAAATGTGATTTTGTCTGCGCGTATAATGTGCATGTATGTGTGTGTTTATTTCTGTATGCGTGTTTGTAGTATCATGCACAAATCTGTTTGGATAATTGTAAAGAATCGTAAGAATAATAAGACACGTACACGTGGCGAAATTGTAATTTTTCGGCGATAAGAAAACAATTTTGATCATTTGCCACCACTCGGATTAATATGATATATAACAGAAGTGGCAAGCGAGATAAGACTCGCCAGCTGTCCAACATATTTATATGTATGGAAGAGTTGAAATTAAAAAAAAAAAAAAAAATAATAATACATATTTAAATATTATATCAAAAACACTAAATTTTTTTTTTTTGTAAATATTTTCTATAAATTGTAATTTAATAAAATATTTTACTTCTTCAAATACATATATTCATAAATTCATATTAAAAACAAAACATTGGTTGTGAGAATGTTTTGTATCTCACGATAAGATGCGAGCCGCAGTTTGGCCACCCCTGATATATAATATAGAAGTTTGGAGCAAAGTAGATGTAAATATATATATATATATATATATATAATCTCTATTAGTATTCTACCTAACCGTACTTATGAATAATATATTGTTATATATATATGTATATATGTATAAGTCCCTCTGTGTTTTGAATCATACACGGTATTGATGTAGGGGGAATAGGGAGTGGGAAATAGTATTAAAATGCTCGTTTTAGATCACATGTACAATATAGAGTGATAGTAACATATTGTATAGAACAGAATAATTAATTTTATTCGTTGGGCTAAAAATCAATTATGTTTTGTTTTTCTCACATTTAACACGATTGTTCTTGTTAAACAAATCCAGTTCTTGTGTTCTTGTATTCGGAAACAAGCCGTAAATGGTCATTATTCCGTAGAAATACAGTTTTTTTTAGATTTGTATATGTTATTATTTGATTACTTTTTTCCACACCCGCGGTGCAAAATCGAAGCGAAAACATCTTCCGCAACACTGTACAACACTTATATCACATGAATATCAATAATTGAAGAATTATTGTAATGAGAAACACCGTAAGCGTAGAAAATAAGGAATTCGGTTGTAAAAAAAAATATCGTAACATAGTCAAAAAGAATCATTATGATAATGTATCCTATGGGTTTAGACGCGATGTTCATGTCAACAGCAACGACATTACAGTGAACCTTTTAAACGAACCGCTGTGCTTGTGACCGGAGACCGAGACGGCGAAAAAACCTTTAGAAAACCGAAAGAAGAACGTGTCTCGGGTCACAGGGATACGAATGGGTACCGAGGGAGGAGAGTGCACCCATAGCGGTAGGACTTGTACGGACTGGTTCGCAATAATGGGATAGCCGAGCTCGTCGCCGGAGTATCTATTCAGGTGTGAATGGCAACGGGAGGATGCGGGTTTCGGTGATTCAGACGAGATACTCGACGGCGAAACGAGGTATGATGACGACGTCGCGTAGCCGGTCGGGAGGCAGTCAGATGATGTTTGTGTCTTGGTCAGCTTCGATGATGATTTTCTCGGTCGAGTTGAGCCGCGATTGACGGAGCGACGCCACCGAAGACCTGGGACTGGTGGCCGGTAGAATGCCGCCGCCGCCTCCGTAGGCGGTAGCAGCGGTCGCTTTGCCGTTCTGCTTGATCGCGGCAGACGCGGTGATGACGGCCGTGACCGAGGCGGACGACACGAAATCGCAGCCACCACCGCCATAACCACCGCCGCCACCATCGCCGCTACCGTAGCCGCATCCGGCGGCCTTCCGGTGGCGATGATGGTGCCGGACGGACGCGTCCGAATTGAGCACCATGGATCGGTAACCTTTGCAGAAGCACCAGTCGGGATAGTGGGTGGTGAGTATACGGCGGAACGCGTCCCGGAACTCGGTGTTGAATATGGAGTAGATGATGGGGTTGAATGCGGAGTTGGAGTAGCCGAGCCACGTGAGAACCTTGAACGCGGCTTCGGGTATGCACGTTTTGCAGAACGCGGCGATGATGTTGACGCAGAAGAACGGCACCCAGCACAGCAGAAACGTGCCCATGATCACGCCCACGGTGATGGCCGCCTTGTGGTCACTCACGTGGTACGGTGACGTGTGGTGGTGCACCGCGGTAAGCGTGGTGGACGCCGTGGTGGCGGTGGTGGTGGTCGCGGTGGCGGCGGTGGTGGTCAGCGGCCGCGTGACCGCTCGGATGCTCTGCACGTGCTTCTGCGCGTAGCAGTACAGCCGGCAGTAGATGCCGATCATCACCACGCACGGTATGTAGAAGCTGATGGACGATGAGATCACCGCGTACGTGGGCGTCAAGTCGAGCGCACACGTCATGTACTCCATGTTACCTGCGTGGAACACCACCGGCATGTGCGGTCGGTGTATACTCAGTATGCAGATGGGCACGACGGACACGAACGCGGCCAACGCCCACACGCCCGCTATTCCCAGTAGCGCGTTCCTCCGGTTCAAATATGTCGTGTACCTGCGAACAGAAATCAAAAAAAAAAAAAATAAAATAAATTCCCACCGTTTGTATTAATTGTAATGCAGTACAGCGGTCACTCGATAATTCGAAATTCAGAGTGACCGAGATAAAAATTCGATTTGTAGAAGGGTTTTCGATTTACCGAGTGTTCGAATGTTCGAATAATCGGGAAAAGAACTTGAACGATTCGAATAAAAGGGAGATGAACAATTTAATTACATACCCTGTTTGTGTTTATTATTTGTATTATACATTTATATTTACACATATTAATACGTATTATTATAGGTTATTAAAGAGAAGTTATTTTTGAAATTTTTTATTTTTTATTTTTGTGATAAATTGTTGCCCACAATCCGGTCCATAGTATTTATTTTGGTATATTCGATAGCATAGCAGTTGGGATACGAAATTGTTGGGCAAAATTTTTTTTTTTCATCTGCTTCAAAAGGCCTCGATCGTTTTTTTTTATTGGCGCGCCGCGGCGAGTGAGAGCACTTGTACTTTATGGTGTGCATATTCGGTTTGATTACGTTTTACTCGATTTTAACAACTGTTTGCGCGTTGCAGATGTTCATTTTGGTGAAATTATATGATTAAAGTCTCGATTAGGAGGTAGGTTAGGTAGTTATAACCTACGATAATATATCGTCGTTATTTTGTCGTCGTCGTTATTAGTTTGATTACGAGTACGTTAAGTATGCTATTTATGCATATATGTACATAATCTTTAAATAGTTAATCGTATATTGATTTTCGGAAATGGAAAAAATAAACACACTTTTTGGTCACGGAGTTTTTCTTCTGCGTACTCGACGGAAAGTTTTTCGGGTCGATTTTGAAGGCAAGAAAACAGAGATAGTCAGTCTGTAATCTATTAAACTGTGGAACACTCGGGTTTTCCGGATGAAACCATGATACGTGCAGGCGATCATTACTTTAGTCGTAGACGTGATGATTCTAAACACATTACCTTAGGTCACACAAAATAATATCCGGGAGTAACTTAATTATATGATTTTATAATTTTCTTTGGACTGCTATAAGCTTTAAATTCATAGCTAATCAGGTTTATGTATAAGAGTGAAGAGGGATGTATTTTGGCGATCGAGAGTAGAAAGAAGAAACATTTGCTCTTAGAGAGTCTTACGTTGCGATGTCATGAAGTCACCATTTAAATAAACGCATAACACAAAGATTAAAATATTGATCTATACACATAAACAGTTATGCCACGATAGATTTATTTAGTAGAGATGAATACAATAATATTTTGAAACCCACTACTTGACACTTTTTGTCACGTATCCAGAAATAAAGACATTAAACCAAGCTTTTCCAAGTTCATTGTAGACTTACATAATAATAAAATAAATATTTATATTCGATTAGACATTTTTGTTTGCACAAGAAATCAAAATCAATTTTATTTATGATTATTTTTTTAAACTAAAAATCGTGTTTTTAGTAATATTTTTGAGCTATTCACATTATTATACACATTATACAACTAGTTAATAATTACATATCTCCAATACGTATATGTAAACATTCTAAAAAAAAAAAAAAATTATGAAAACTATATGATATTGTTCTCATTACAGAAATGTATCATTTTTGCCTATACAATACGCCGTGTTATAATTTTATTAAGGTAAAAAATCAATCGATGATAGTCGATAATCGATAATCGATGATAGAACTAGTCAACAAAAATAATATTTGTTGCTTCAATTATTTATCACTCATCGTCAATTTTTCATTACTTCGAGTTTTTTTGTGTTTGAATAAATGGTAAAATAATTTACAAATATGTTTACACATAAATATTATATAAATATTAAATTATAGAAAACTAATGTTTTATTATCAGTATTTCTTGAAACCGGGTAAGCATTTAACATTTTAATTTTCAAATCATAAATTTTTCAAACTCATTTTTGTTGACTTTGATCTAATTTTTTGTATTAGGTGCATGGTGTTTAAAAATAATATACTTATATTTTCAAATGTGCAGGTGCCATGGGAACAATAGCCAAGCCTGGGCATTAACGAGTTAATAAGTTAAAAGTTAAGTTAATTTAACTTATTAACTTAATTTATTTTCTTACAGATTAACTTAAAATGAACGCATTATTTTTTCATTTATTCCAATTAAGTTAATTTTGATTTTCAAGACCAGAAAAATATTTTCGTCAAATACCGCGTATATCTTTTGTTCGATAGCAAATTAATGAAATTTAGAAAATTATCAAAAATAAAATCTATAGTGTTCCAAAGAATTTTGTATTTTTATTTTTAGATAAGAATATTATATTGATCACGGTATTAACTAAAAGGTTTAATTAACTAAATAGGTTTTGGGAAAAATAGTCGGCCGTCTAAAGATTATTATATATACCTAAGTAAGAATAGCCATTCCGTCCATGAATATATTGTTATGAAAAGTGGCCATATATCTATATTACATAAATAAATCCATATTATCATTGGTTAAAGAATAAAATTATAATTAGAAATATTCCATAATAAATGATAATTTTAAATTTGTATACCCCTACAACTTAGTGTCTAGAACTAGCACTGCCTACACACAAAACTGATCAATAATAACTCTACTTATAATATATATCGTTATCTATGTGTATGTCTATGTAATAGTGCATATTTTTTAAGTGTTGATTGTAACATTATAGAAGTCATACAATTGAAAATGGACAATAAATATCCAAGTAAGTTCTATTATTTCGTTATCTTTTTAATTTAATAATTATAATTAAGATTTGCTGTAAATTTATATATATATATATCGCTTAATCAACGCTTGATGTATTTTTTTTTATTAACTTAACTTATTAATTGAATTTAAGTTAATAACATTTTTTAATTTAATTTTTTACTTAATTGATGTGATCCTCATGTGAATTAACTTAATTTGTAACTTAATTGAACGTGAACTCAATTAAATTAACTGAGTTAAAAATATCAATTTGAAGTGGAATTTATTTTTTTTCCTAAATTATTATTATGTCTAATATTCTGTGTTTATGCGAGAAATTCCAATTAATAATAAATATTTTGTATGAGGACGATTTGGAACGTTTTACAACGTAAAATTTGTATCGTTTAAACTAGTAAGCTCTAAAATTTAAGCAGTAGGTAATGAACCAGTGGCGTACCCGGAAATTTCTTAGTGGGGAAGATCCCAAATTTTTATTTTATCTGTTCTCTAATTATAATTATAGTTTAATTTAATACCAACAAATTACTGTTAATAACTATAATTATAGTCACAATATTTATACGCATATCACACATATTCTATACAAAGGTTTACTAGCTATAATATGTAGGTACTATAATTTGAAATCAATTTTTATTTGGTAGTAAAATGTTATAAAAAAAAATACATTATTTAATTAATAATAATAAATAATATTAAAAAAGCAGTATAAATTAAACATGGTTTATACATTATAGGTATATTATATAATCTATAAACTTTGTATATTGAAAATAATGGGAAATTAAAATACACTATGTACTATTTACTATTAAACCACTAAGTATGTAGAAATTTCAATGAGAAGGTCCCCCATTATTTCACGTTTTCTACCTTCCCACAAAGAATTTAAAAAATCTTGATTATTTTTTTCAACGTGTTTAGAATAGGTAAAATACGAACTCGTTTCGTTATTGTGTATGTATAAGAATAATAAGGCTTTGGAATTAAAATACGTATATTTCTTTGTAATATTTCATTGAAATAAGTCTATACAATAAAAATGTTTCTAAGGTATAATAATAAAAGCTATTTGTGTGAATGTATTTGTGTAATGCATAATTCCAGATTGTGCTCGACTAAGTACGGCTGAAGTACGTTTAAATATAATAACATGGTCCTATTAAGTTTATCACTATCGTCACTGTTGTTAAATCCTTTGTACACATACCCGCATTAATCATGGGTTTTAATAATACAATGTATTGTGTTCAGTATATATAAATGTGAAAAGTCACCAATTTAATGCTTTTTATTGCTTTTATCGAGAAAGTCATATTATACAGTAAGTACATGAATGGTCCAAATACGCAAAAATGAATATTAAATGGTTATAAATATGATTAAAAGATTAATTTTATACAATTTAATTATTTAAAAATAAAAATAATAATAAAATATAGTAATGATTTAGTTTTTTTCTGTTAGTTTTAAAAATTACCAATTTAATAGAGAAAATTGAATTATTAATATTTCATGTCCTTACAATTAGAAAATATAATAAATACGTATACAGTTGTATAACAAATACATATTGCACCATTATAAATAACATTAAACAAAAAAGTAGGTAATATTATAACTTTATATTTCAAAATAGCAAGATTATTTATAGGGATGAAAATATGTAGAAATTGTATATTTTTTTACATGTCTTCTTTTTAGAGCTATGTGAGTTATCTATTCTATAACCTAGTACAGTGCTTTTTAAAATTTTTCGACCAACGGCGCCATTTTTGATCTAAGGTTTTTTTAGGGCGCGCCCTTCCTCAAGCCATATAATGACTAATAATAAGGACAATTTTAAACCAGATAGTATTCCATGACGGCGCGGCACCCTTATATAGACATCGTGGCGCACCAGGGCATACTTTGGGAACGGCTGACCTAGTGAGTTCATTATTTGTACTATATATTTTGCATATTTTGGTATTTTTTTCAAGAATAACATATTAATAATTTTTCGTGCATATAAATGCATTTTTACGACATTTGTGTTATTTATTTTCAATATAATTTATCCCAAAAAATATTAATTGAATAGAAAACTTGTAGTTTCTATAATATATCGTTCAAACCTAAAATGTAAAACGTATACAGTAGTTTATTTTATTTTAGTATTTATCGCTTCTAACTGCTTATAACTAATCTTCGTTCTAATGGCATATAATATATTTTTAGATTATAATTAGAAAACCTAACCTGGCCCTTAAAA